TATTCATTAACTTATCTTCATGTAATAACATTCACTAGTTATATATCTAACTTGAATACAATTTAAATATTTCACTTATTCTATTCATCATAAATATTATTCCGTATCTTCATGGGTCAAGGTATTAATTTGGTTGAGTTCTGTCTAACGATAAAATTCATTCTATGAGTTAATTGACATTTTCTAATACAAATGTATTCATTAGAGGAATTTATTTTATTTTAAGCCGCAGAGCTGCAGTAAGTGGAGAAAATGCTATGTGTATGAAATTTTCTTGTTTACGTTTCCCACAAATGTAAATTTATTTCACAATACAAGTTTCCCAATGTAGTATTATTTAGTCTTATCATGGGCAACTCTTCTTAAAATTTTATTTGTAAGAATTACATCATATATTGAAAATATATATATAGTAGTAGCAATTAAATTTATAAAATACTTCGTTTTATAGAGTACGGCTTTTTCTTGAATTAATTGTGAATATACAGGATTCCACAATGTACTGGTATTGAAGTCAAAATAAGCATCAAAAAGCTCTTTTTCTTTAAAAAAAAATTATAATACAAGCACTAAACTCAGATATATAGCAAAACCTTATAAGTCTTGAAGAAATAAGTACCGAACAAAGTAAATTATGAACATTAATGTGACTACTACTACAACTAAACAAGAAATCGCGCGATTACAAAATCGTAATGCATACTCATAGTACATTACATCTCAAATGAAATCTACGACAACTTTAAGATTATAAACAACGGCAAGACGTGCAGAAAATGTCTCTTCTGCTCACAGGATAACTGTAACTTGTACGTACTTTTCTCTAATTCTTCCCTTTTGTATTGCTTTTGAGAATATTATATACACAACTAGAAGATTCAATTCCTTTCATTTCACAAACAATTTAGATGAAACTCATTAGTTAGTGCTGGTTATTAAAAATAATTTAAACTAACATTCTCCTATACTGCATCCCTTTATTTAACGTTTCTAACAACTCTGACTGAAATATATATTTAAAAAAATACAATCTAAATGTCTTCGTTTCATGAAAGAATAAACTAAACAATTATGTAATTTTTTTTCTTTTTCACCAAATATAGTCTACAACTTATTCAATTGATTAAATGTATGGCATATGTCAAGAATTATTTTGGTAGAAGTTTAATAAACAACACGAAATAAGAGTGGATTCACATTAAAAGTAGTAAAATCAGTGAAAAATTGAAAATTACTATACTAAGAAAATAAACATAAAAAAATTAAAAGGACTCACAATATAATTCATAACTTCCTTTCTGCACTATGATTAAAAAATAAATATAGCTTATAAACCTACTCTACTTTAAATTTTGAGCTTTCTTTGTTTCAAATAAACACTAAAAAATTGGATAAATGCAAAACTTTAAAAGTTTAAATACTATTGTTCAAAAATAGAGTTTCGATTCTAGAATCCCGATATTTTTGAGGATTACTTTTGCTCACACACATACGTACACATTACTGTCATCCCTTCTTAAAAATAATAAAACTGTCTGACTATATTTCTTAAAATGTTTTACTTTACAACATTAATGCTGGCAATTAGAATGCATTTGTTATTTTTTCTCCGCAATTAAGGAAACAAAAACGCTAATTAGTTAGCAGCGTCTGTTGTTAATTAATGGCTCTAAAAGTGTAGTTAATTATGCACTGAAGAGACAAATAAGATTTTTTTTATTTTTATTTTCTGTATGTTTCAACCCATTTTCTTATTCCAAGAATAATTTTTTTCTGTGTTTAGAGTAAACAAATGCCAGTTAAATTCTAGCATTATGAAAGAAACAAATATAAAGTAAATGTTTTTCTCTTCATAAATATAATAAAGACGTGAGCTAAACTTCTTTATTTTATATTCATGATTTCTGTATCATTTTTTTTTGGCTAAATGGATACCTTATTATTTTGGTTTTTTGATATCAAGAGACTGCTTGATGCTCAAAAGTATTTCGCCGAATTCTTCTTTAAATGTTACAGAGCACCTCCCCCGATCCGAAAAGGAAGTTATAATGAGAAAGAAGATTATATTAAATTGATCTTCCTTGTGTTAGAAAAACAAACAACTTTGCATTCTGAAGTAATTTTCTTTGTATTCTTTTCTTATAATTTGTCTTCTTTTTTCCATTATTCTATTTTTCATTACTTACTCTGTACATGGAGGAACAAATTATCCTCTTGCTCTTCTATGCCATTCTTTTTGCTCGTGCAGCATTCTTTTTACAACATTTATTTGTTTATTTAATCAGCATTGCGTCTTGTAATATATAATTGGAGAACTATTTCACAATTAACAGAACCAGTTAAAAGAAAAAGAGTGTAATACAACCGGTGCCCTGATCTCCAAACTTTCGAATTATCTTATGAGAGAGGCTCGTTTGGTTAAAAAAATGAATCAGTTTGCTTTATTTCATAGATAAAGGTTGAATACCGTAGTTGTTACAATTGCCTTGTGGTCTGGTTCCAGAGTATCCTGGCTGACTATGCTCGGGTTGAGTTGTGAGTTCTGATCCGGTGAAGTTTTGACTTTGTGCAACGAAGGAAGCTGCTTTACATTAAATGGAACCATGACTTAAGTCCTCTCATTGTAGGATATAGAAGTTACGAAAGAGAGGAATTAAATATCGTTTTTACCTCTTAACCATAATTCAAGCCATTTACCATTGGCCTCTTAACCATAATAATAATTCAATTTTATTCCACTACAAAATATTCTTTTGTTCTTTGAATAAGTTTATTTCTGTCCTTCCTTTTAATGTCAAATCGATCCAACGAAGATGGAGTGAGATGGAAATTAAGCCACATATTTCCTAATATTTGCATTGATTATGTTTTAAAGTCTTATTAAACTTAATAGAAAATTCAGGAAGATAAATTTTAAGAAGATACTTAAGTTTCTTGTAAGTAATATTTATTGTATCTTGGACATTCATCTATTTAGATATCCCAATGCATTTCAGAATTCAGTGAAAAAATCTGTAGTGACACTTATTCCATAATTGATGAATTAATTCAATGGTTTAAGATACGAGTCCATCATTAGGATATGAATCCTAATCTGATTGCTTAATATACTCCAGAAATCCACGATATATTTCTCCAAAAATCTTTTAAAAGTATTTTATGAAGTAGAAAAAAATATGTGCGTACATTTAAAGTTCAAAATATACTGATGAAAAATGAAATCACAACACCAACAAGAAATTAATTCAGAGAAATGAAATTCAGGAAAAGCATTTAAATAGGCAACATATTTATTCAAGTTAAAAAGTCACAAGTTAAAGAACGCGTAAGTTGAACCCCTTTTAAATGTAATATGATGGTTTATTAATAACTTCTGAAGTCCTTATGATTTTGAACACAAGTATGCAAAAATGTATGCATTGTGTCGTACAAGTATTGCACCGTATTCATTTTGGGGGATAGAGTTCCATTCCAGTACTTGGTCTGTCAAATTAGCAACGGTCCGTGCTAGTTAGGGATGATGCTGGATTCGACATCCAATAATGTCCCATACGCACCCGATATATGAAATTTCTGTTGAATGATAAAAATCCAGTAAGGAAGATATTTGTTTTGCAAAGCTTTTACCACTCGGAAAAAGAAGAAGACCAAAGCTACGGTGGCTTTGTTTTGTTGAATAGGAATGTAAGGTGCTGGGGGAGAGGAACTGGTAGACCAAGGCAAATGGAGGGCTATCTTTGAGGAATTTTCCCTAGAAGACCTTGGCCCACTATAGGCTGTTGTGTCGAATATGATGATCAATAAGCAATCAATCAATCCCCAATAAAGCTTCAAGCTCTGTTAAAGCTTGCAAGCACTCAAGTATCAATTCTTTTCTCTCTAAACAATGATCTTTGATGCATTCAGAACTGTTGAATTTACGAATCTAGGTTCGTCTCATCAAAAGTTCACATTTATGACCAAAAATCAGCTGCAGCACTGTTTTTAGTTTCAACCACTAGTTTAGAAATTCAACGAACGTTTATATCTCTAAGAAAGATAAATACTACATTTGTTTTGTATGTGAATTATCTCTCGTAAAAGTAACAATTAATGTCTTTCGGCAATGTTCATATCCTATATGGATAAATTTGCTAGTTAATTTTTGGAGTACCAACAAACGCGACATGAAAAAGTAGGGTACCCTTACTTCTAAGGATATATATTCCCCAATTTTAAAAGGATCACGATTCGCTCTTTTTTTTTTCATAATACGTAATATATACTACAGAACAAGCATTTTACAGAGCCCCGTCAGCGGCCATAACACGCTGAAAGCACCAATTCTCATCCGATAATCGAAGTTAAGCATCGTAGGATGCGGTCGGTACTGGGAGGGGACTACCTGAAAACAAAGCATACCTTTGGCATTGTTTTCTTTGTGGCCGGGGTAGCCTAGTGATCATGATCGCGGACACATGGCCGTTGTTTCTGTTGAGTCATGGGTTCCAGTCCAGATGACACTAAAACCTCCGTAAAGAGGGGCTGATACATGTTAAATATGGTCGAGGTCTCAATTCCTCTCGTTGGTATGATGTGGAAGTTTGGAGAAGAAAGGGTCAACTCAGTCGTCGTCGTCTTTTGGCTGAGGCTCAAAATCCGAGATCCGCCTCCAATAGCGCTTGTGTTGTTTTCCAATGCAACGTTAATTAACAATCACTCACACAATCACATTAAATGAGCCCAACAGGGGAAGATATTCCATGTAAGAATAATTTTCTGATACAAAAATAACCTTTGTATTTTTTTCTTATAACATTAAATTAAACTTGCAGTTCATTGTTAGGTATCAATGAACATTTGTAAAAAATCAAAAGTAATTAATCTGCAGCTTCATTTAAAGTGAAACACGTACAGCACGAAAACTCTTAGCAGTAAAAATCAGTTTACACGAAATAATATTGCTGTTCCGACAAAATGCTATATAATTTCCTACATTTTATTTTCAGAATTGTGAAGATCCTATCCATGTAGATTCTGAAGTCAATATTACAGATCTTGCATCTACTTTATCAGAAATGTGGTGCATCAGGAAAAAGTATTTGGACAAGCATTCGATTGGCGAAGTTAAAAAAAACAATAGTCGATACCAAACATTTTGTAACAGGGGCTATTCGCTATACTTTCTTCTGACTAACATCAGTTTTTTTTTCCTGATTTAATATCTGAGTTTGCAGCTTATTCCCAATCAATGGAACGTGAAGCAAATTAAGTAAACTTTGAAAGGGAAGGGAATAGATATAAATCAAGTCGCATAAAAGTGGAAGATAATTAAATTGAAATTAATTAAGCATATGGTTATAAGAAGAGTGTGAATGTGATGTGCGCTGAAGTATTTTGGCGTTGTATATAGTGGATTAGGTGAGATTAGGACTCAATGCTGTAGAAGCAATTACAGGAGGTATTCGCATCGTATTCCAGGAAGTGTATTCTTTGATAGATTACAAAACTTAATAAAGTAAATTATTATTAGAGGATTACTTATTAGAGGATTTAACAAACATATTCTAGAAAGAAATGACCAATTTATTTACTTGGGCTTACAAACTGAAATTTAAATCTTGTAATCTGAATTTCATTTAAGATGTCATAAGAGATAAGTAATAGAAGGTCGTCACAAAACTGTCGACAATTTGATATAGATAACGGCAAAAAGACACATTAAGAAATCAGATTTTTTTCCCTCAAAAACCTTTTTCATGAATTTTATTAAAATGTAAACTTATTTGAAATATATATATATATATATAGATAGATAGATAGATAGATAGATAGATATCGAATTAATTAAAATTTGACGACATCGAGAAAATATCGATGAGTGTTTCTTCGTATGCATCGATTAACGGGAAGTACTTTTAATACGAAAAAAAAAAAAAACCCATTTCGATTTCTCTCAATTTAATTTTAAATGTTTTTCACTGTAGGTACAAAAAGATAAAACGAAACCCTAAACTACTGAATCGAGAACGTATTTCAAACGAAATGAACCAAGGCATTTTCATGATCCCTTCTGCCTTTGTCCTAAAAGGCTATAAATCATAACAGGAAGTTCTTTCTCATCGACGTCTCACCATGGTCGATTTGAAGGACGACCTAGTTGGTTTTATTATCGATTCTTCAACCACAGTTATTTCAGACCGTCTGGCTTTCATAGAGTGTACACTGAAAGATAACACAATTCCATTCCCAGGAGTGGGCCTACGTTTATTAAGCTTTTGCGAGAACGTCTTTGATCAATAATAGCAAACGCTTCTCCTAAGCAGTTTTCTCAGAGTGGGATGGTTTGAAAACGCGTGGGTGTATCATACATCGAACTGATCGGGGATGACTTTGTAATTGAATTTGACTCTTCGATAGTTGTTTGAATTCAACTTTTAATATTCTTTCTAAGTAAAAATTAAGATCTAAAAACAGTTTGGTATTCAGGCGATCTTTATTAAAACCTTTAGAATAGTTTTGTGAAATAATGAATTTAATGGGATGCTTTGAATTTATTTTGGAACTCCTCGTGGACCATATGTTTATTCGAAGCGCTTTTCAAGAAATAATTACAAATATTTAATTAAATTTATGCTTATCTTAATTAATGCATAACATTAATTTAATACACGAGATATTAGTATAATGCGCAGCTGGATATCTCATAACCAGATAATGGAAGATTTTTCGTGTTATTGAGTTCATTTGGCTTTATTATTTAAAACATTTTAAGAAAATTGCACACACGTGAAAAATGTGTGAGGAACAAGCAGAAAGTATTGCAAAGATAAAATTCTGTATATTCATAAGTACATCGACATTCATAATTATATGATGTTTAAAATGGTGGATTATTGATTCACTTGTAAGAATACAGATACAAAATATTTTTTTTTAAAAGTCAAGTCAATCTTAATTATATAATCTAAATTTGTTACGAAAAAAAATTATGAATTACTTAATTTTACTTATAGTAATACATAGACATTTGATTACTGAAAATATATATTACGAATTTTATATGCGTTCTGTCAAAAATATGTAACTACTTACGTTTAATAAATTAGTTATGTCGTAGTATTCTTCTAATTGAGAAAAAGTCACTGTAGCCCAGCGGTCATGGTCGAGATTCGTGGTCGACAGTTTTAGAGTCGTGGATTCGAGCGATGATGTCACAAAGACTTTCAATTTATGGAACTTTGATGCACGTTAATTCTATCAAATTCTACCGTGGCGTGGTGAGGAAAATATAAGAGGGAGGTTCCAGATCCGGTGTCGTGCTGATCACTTGATAGAGGTTCAGAATTACGGAGGTTCTTTATCAAAGCCCTTATGTGGCTTCAGTGTGACATCAATAAAACAACAAATCGGTCAATCTTCTTGCTGGCATATGTAACATTTGAATCTATTGCTTAACATTGGTCGATTGTGATTGCTTATTAACGTAACACTAAGAAAAAAAAAAACTGGTTTTGGTGATATACCTCGTCAATCTGAGCCTTGGTCAACTTGGACGATACAAGTTGGTTTCTCCCTACTCCAAATTCCACACTATGTGGACTTAGGATCTCGAGGCCAGATATAATGTGCATCAGCACCGTTACTCAGTAAGCCTTTAGTGAAATCATCGAATCCACTAGAGGAAAAATAAAATAATGCCGTCTACGGAGTCGATCATGACTACTAGGCTGTTGTGGTCTCTAATAGTCGAAGAGGATGTAATAGGTTTTACAATAAAGTTTGAGGTTTTTTTACATGAAATCTGATAATTTATTTGCTTTTGTTTTCCAATCGCTGGTGTTGTATTTGATAAGATGTGAATTAAAAGCACTTACACAATTAATATTCTTTATATCGAAATACCTATTGTCACAAGAAAACCAACCCTCGAAGATGTCGCAAAACTAATTTTTCGAAATATAATGCATTCGAATCACAGAGAACAACATAGCATCCTCAATGGGTAATAATAATGTCTGGGTAATGTGTCTGATTCTTTGTTTACAAGGGGAGACAAAGATCATGATATCTAAAGTTATTTAGAAGTTCTATCCATGAAAAAAATAGCATTGGATAGCTCAGCCAGGACTGGTGCAGTAGCTTTATGCAGCGAGGAGGTATGGATAAGGTATAATTATCATTCAAGAAATGTAACTAAGACATCTTGATAAAATTGGTTTATGTGTATATTAATTTTTCTTACTTACACAATTTCTTAAATCACTGTAATTAATGTTGATTTGTTGGTTTCAGGAAGTAGTTGAATAGATTAACTTACAATAACGTAAATTTAAGTATCCTGAGATACCATAAAGTAATAGTTATTTCTAAAAGATAATAGAGATCTATTTTTTTATTTTTTTATTCTTAAGACTTTCTCTATGTATATGTATATATATATATATATATATATATATATATATATATATATGTATATATATATATTATATATATAATATATATATATATATATATATATATATATATATATACCTATATAAATCACATATATATATATAATCAACGTACAGAAGGATCCTTGATCAAGAGAAAAATAGGATATCAAAGCACCAAGAAATTAAACAAAAGTATTGCGTATCTCTATTTATTACAGTGGCTTGTCTTAATAAGATAATGAATGATAAAGTGGTTCAATGGGTATGTTTTTTTTGGGGGTGAGGAGGGTTTCTAAAATATATTCTATGAATAATAAACAAAGCAAAACTATTTTAACTATGAGGAATAATAAGGAAAATTTTTTAATGGAAGTGGCTGTGACTGTTTTTTTATTGCAAAGTATTTTTTACCGGACAATTTTGAAATCTGCAGCCTAATGTCATCGGTATCAAAAAATCTAACTTTCAAAATTTCACATACATATGTTGAAACATGACATTGAATCATTTCTAGCTCTTTTGGCAATTTCAGACAGTACTTTTTCTGATGTCAATCCAAAAATGCATATCAACTTGACTAAAATTTGGTTTCAATTGTAGATCATTAAACATATCAAGTTGTTGTTGCTTTCTGTGGGGTTTGGAGTGTCTGGTCTTGAAAAATTTTTTGGATCAGATGAATTTAGAAGGTATAGTATTAATGGTATTATAATCCAACGAGATCACACACACACACACACACGCACACACACGCACACACACACACACACACACACACACGCACACACACACACACACACACACACGCACACACACACACACACACACACACACACACACACACATATGTATATGTATATATATATATAATATAACACCAAATAATTATTAATAACAATACTTTCATATGTTGTACCCAATCACCTTAAATGCAAGATAAAACAAAATAAAAACAAATTTAAAAACTACCAA